AAACTTAAATAAACAAAAAAAACTATGAGATTAAACATTCAAATATTAAATGATTTTAAAGCTATTTATCAAATAAAAAGCAATACTGTTATCTTATTTGCGCAGAAACTGAAAATGTGAGTATAACTTGTGGAGTACCCAAAGAATCAATTTTAGGACCTTTTTTAATTTGTATTAATAACTTAAGCAAAGCTTGTAATTAATTAAACACCATTTTGTTTGCTGATTATACAACTTTGTTTTATACTATGATATAAAAAATATTGTTTAATTCAGTTTAATAGAAGCTCTTAAAACTTACAGAAAAGTTTAGTGCAAATAAATTTCAATTAACTTACCTAAAAAAATACACTTTTTCCCATTGTTTGCACAGATGCAATTAAATTACGTTAAAAATTCTAATACTTTGTATTGGCAGCCACGCTATAAACAAAGAACACTTGTTAAAATTTCTTGGTGTACTTCTTGACGAAAATGTCGTTTGGACAGATCATAACTACAAATTAGAAGATCATATTTTACAAAAGACAAAAATTGAAAGAGATTTAGGTGTTATAATATCAAATGACCTCAAATGGGACAATCATGTTATCAGTGTTGCAAATAAAGCTAATCAAACACTAGGTTTTATAAAACATGCATTTAAACATCTTGATGTTGCTATATTAAAGTTGTTATACAAGTCAACTATTAGGCTACAGCTTGAATATGCAGCATTAGTATGGAGCCCATATTGTATTAAAGATATTAATAGACTGGAAAATGTACAACGTAGATCGACTAGAGTTGAAACATTGAAACGCATCTGATATAAAGAAAGAAAAAAAATATTAGGTTTACCAACGTTGCAAGAACGGAGATGAAGGAGTTACTTAATAAAAATATTTAAAAATCAAATTCAACTTAATATATTATATTTAAGAAACCTATGAGGTTTTACTGTCCAGGTTGTTTTAATTGTCTCAATAAAAGGCTTCATTTAGAATTTGCTAAAAAAGTTTAAGGTTTTACTATTTAATAGAGAAATTTTTATTTAACAGAAGGCCGGGTGAATAAAAAAAAGCTATTGCTTCTACTCAGTAATTAGTCAGCTTTACGTGAATAAAAATTTCAGCAGTTTTGCTTTGAGTAAATTGCTCAACTTTACGTGAATAAAAATTAGTGCAAAACTGGTGAAGTTTTTATTGACGTAAAACTGACCAATTACTGAGTAAAAGCGATTGCTTTTTTTTATTCACCCGGCCTAGAGATTAGAATTTCTTATCACAAGATGCAATTGATTCTGCAAACAAAAATACACTTAAGAATAAAATAGACAATATTCTGAACTTTTGATACCAAATTATATTCGTAAACTATTTTTATTAACAAAATCTTACATTCAAAGGCTGTAATACATTACTAACAACACAATGATCCATTATGCTTGTTTGAAAAATACTTATCATCATTTTGCATGGAATGGATGTGAGAGAGAAAGGCCGGTAGTTTGATTATTTAGTTTAATACCAAACTATATTCATAAACTATTTTTATTAAAAAAACCTTACATTTAAAAGCTGTTATAGTCAACTCTATATAGTTTTGACTCACCAAATTTAAATACTTTGCACAGCAAAGTATTTAAGTTTTTTATATTATATTTTATACATTATCTTGAAAATAAAATCTCAAGAAATATTGGTTTACTTTATAAAGCAAGGCTCTTATTAAATTAAGTTTATTTTAAAATGTTATTTTTCTCCTTTTCCAGTAGCCATGCGTTGTCTGGAGGACAACCATCAGTTGTTTATCACACTCCCAAAAACTATTTTATAAAAATAAATATACTTAACATTGTTTCTCTATTAGTGTTTTATATTTTTTTGTTACTTTAACTAACTTTAATCAATTTTTTTTTTGCTCTATTTAGAAGATGAATCAATAAAACGTTAGAGTTTAATGATTTGTTTTTTTAATTTTCTTACTTTTTATTTAGATATCTATTTTGTTGTTACTCAACTGTTTATTTATTTCTTATTATTTTATTTTTTAAAAGGGAAAGTCTCATTATCATTTTATTACAATTTCTATCAATATGTATATTTATACGGGTTTTTTTACGAAGTCTTGAGGCTTTGCAATGAGAAAAGTTATATCTTCTTCTTAAAATAATTCTAAAGATCTTTCGATATACAGTGAAATCTTCTTAAAGATGACACTGTATAAATGACACTCCTCTTTGAGGCAGAGAGTAATTTTTTTAAAACTGATGGAACATTTTACACAAAATTTTAGAAATATGCACCACTATTCTTTCTTTCAACACAATAGCAAGTGCAAATATTTCAATGTTTGCTTACAAACTTGGATACTTAAACTGTGAAACTTAAATTTTTGATTTTTTTTTTTAATTCATAATTTTTGAGTTTTTGCGGCCTGAAAACATAAACAAAAGCATGGCAGATTATTGCAGTTCTTATAAATATGAAGAAGTCCCTTCGTATTTAACGTAGAAAGTAACCTTGTTAAATATTGCGTAATAATTCATAAAAATAAAGACGTTAAAGCAAAAAGTCAATTTCTAGTCATAAATGTTGCCGAATAGGAAACATTTACCATCAAAACTTAACACTTTGCTTTTTTGAAGCAATTTTATTTTTTCTATATATTAGCAGTTTTCATAAAAGAATGCAGATTGAAAAAGCATCCAGTTTAAATATAACTAAAAAGAAATGATAATTTAATTCCAAATAAAAGTTTTTAACAAAATGCTTGATATGTTTTTCTAATTGTTATGATATATGAGCAGAAAGAGAAAAATGTACTTTTAAAGTACCAATGCAAGTTTGAGATTCAAGAGTGATAACATAAATTTACTAGAACACTTTGATAATAAAAAAAACTTTAAAAACTTTTATAAATATGTATAAAGATAAGGATGTACAAAAAGAGCAAACACAGTTTGATTCACATACAAATTTAAGAAAAGACATGACGAGGAGTGTATTAGAAATATTGTTTTGATTTAAGAAAAGTTATAAACTTAAACAAATCTAATTACTTCATTAATCAAAGTTACTTCATTACGATATTTGTTGAGTTTAAATCACTTTTAAATTCTAACTTCTATTAGAAAGCACAATGAGACAGTTATGCGAAGATTTTAACAAATTTTTTTTTGTAATAGATTTTTTTAAATTATAACATAAGTTGTATTGGTTGCATATCTTCTTAAAAACGCTAGAATTTTAAGAATTTATCTCTAGGGTATGTTTTAATAAAACTTTCTGGCACTTGAGCTAAGCCATTACTAAAAGTCCCCCTTTTATAATCCAACTTTTACAAAGTCAGAGGTTTTAGCAACTTCTATAATCCAACTTTCACAAAATAAAACTTTTAAAACCTCAAAATTGCTATACCTGTTATATATATCACATAGTCCCACACAATCTGCTGCTTTTTACAACAAAAAAATTGATCCGGCCAATCGGACATCTATATTAAGTGGAGAGACTCCAATGTATTACCTATTTTATTATTTTGCTTATATGGCCTGGGCTAATGCCTAAAATTTAAACATCACTTCAAACATATTACACTTTAAAGCTTTAATTTTTGTTGTTACATGACCACGTTTAAAAAACCTGATTCATTTTATCTATTTCATAAAAAATAAGTTTTTTTATCTTTTTTTTTCTACAGTAGTTTAAGCACTTACACGACATCTAGTTTTTTAACTTGGAAGCACTTACACGACATCTAGGTTTTTAACTTGTAAGGGTTCTGATCTTATTAAGCAATGAGAAGCAGTGACAATCCATAATGGATTAATTATAGCTCCACCACAAAACGGACTTTGATTGTACGATAATAATACCTGCCACGGCCAGGCTCCATTTTTGGCATTTACACCGCTTATAACTCGACTTCCTTGATAGTTTGTATATCCACAAGAAAATTTATGCCCACACCCTAAAATGAATTTTTCACATAAAATCTCCTTTGTTTATTTTGTCATTTAACTCATTAATTATAAAAATAAATATACATTTAATTTAAAATTTAATTTTAACTAACGGAATTAAAATTTGTATATATATATATACATATATATATATATATATATATATATATATATATATATATATATATATACATATATATATATATATATATATATATATATATATATATATATATATATATATATATATATATACATATATATATAAATATGTCTTCTTGTCAATATGGATCGGCGTTTGTCGCAAAAAAATCTAGTTTGCCAAAAATTTTGAGAAATAAACAACAAGTTTTAAAAAAATTGTAAACGAAAATAATTTATTTTTTGTTATCAAAAAAGTCGAAATTTTTTCTCGAAATCTATTGGGTGTTTTCAGAAACGGTGACATTTTTAGAAAAATCTCATGGTTCTTTTAAAAAAGAATTATTTCTCAAGAAATGTCTTAATTTTTTGATAAAAATAGATTGTATGCGATAGATTTGTTGTTTTAATTGTTAGCTGCTCATTTATGGTTTTATTTTACTACAATGCATTAATGTGGGGCTCCAGATCAGAATTAGAGAATGACTTAAAAGGTCATTTATTCTTGTTTAAATTACATCTTCAACCTTGACAGTTGTTTCACAAAATGGGGGACAATAATTTTAAAGTTATTAAATTAGTGTGGTCAAGCAATTCTTCAAAGAGCCTCTGGCACAAATCAGTGATTCAATAAGATTTTGTGACTTTGGCGGGAGTATCTTCCCCATTGTCAAGGGGAATCTATTACATAAGCACTATCAAGATCTCTCAAAAAATTGGGAGTTTATGATAGTTGAATGCAAAAACTGATTTAGAACCACAAAGCTCATTAAGATAAAACATAAAATAGACAGGCGATAAAACTTTAAGTCTAACCGAGGAAGAGCTAGCAGACTGGGTCTAGAAGTGTGATAAACTATTGGGGAGAATGTACAAACCAGAACGTGCTTAATATTTTTCTAGAAAAATAATAGTTGATTAGAAAGAAAATGCATTGTTTTTGAAAATTTTAAATAGAATACAAAAATATTTGTTAATTTAAAATCTTAATTTTTTTTTAGCTTGCTAAAGCCAGCAGTTTAAAGAAAGCTGTATTCCTACAATGCTATGCACAAAAGCACTAATAAGCACCAAATAAATGTATTTACTGTAGTTGTAGCTGGTGAAAAGAATGCAAGAACCACTTGCAGCTACTGGCTGAGCTGTCAAGAAAAAGTTTTATTAAAGCTACTTCAAGCAGTTTTGAAAGGCTGTTTTCTCAGGGTGACACAATTGTTGTCAAAAGAATCAACTTAGATCCCAAAAGTCTAAGAAGCTGATCCTTATCAAAGTGAAATATCCTCTGGTGCTGCATAAAATAAATCTTAAGTTATTAACTGATGAGAAAAGAGAACAGATGGACTAAAAAATAAAGAAAAAGGAGGAGAAAAAAATAAAAGAGGGATGCAAACTCGCCATTCAAAGAAGAGGAGATTTTTACCACAGCAGCACAGGTAAGTTCCAAAGACAACAGCAGCACGACCAACTGGTCGTACTGCTGTTCTCCAAAATCCAAAGAAATTTCCAAAAGTGTCTATTGGATTCAAAATTTCTTTATGACAAGCACTAACGTTTAAGAGATTTAACAGTTAAGATATAATTGGTCAAGTGATAAAAACCAAGTGTAACATTGAAATTAAAATTAATGTGTTCTTTTACCAATTAAATTGGTTGTTGTTTAATTCAATAAAATAAATCTGGGTACAATTAAAAATAGTAGATTTCAAATATAAAAAATTGGATTCGAATAATAATTTTTTTGCCAATTAAATGTGTTGTTGTTTATTTTAGTCAAATAAACTCAGGTATTGTGATAGAAGTTTACAAAAAAGAGGTTTTGCGGCAAAAAATATTTATTGACTTTTAATTATCTAATATATTTCTCAAATTGAACTTTAGTTACCCAAAAAAATTATTCTTGCGTTTTTCCACACGATTTTTTCACATATCCAAACGCCGATTCCGATAAAGCCTCTACTAAAAAGTCATATACTGTTGATTAAAGTTGTAACGTATTTATAAAAGTTGTACAGTTTCCATTAAAGTTGTAAATATTTTATTGAAATTATTTTTTTTTAGATTATTTTTAGTGAACGTAAAGTCGTATCGTACGCAAATATACGCAAAATCGTAAAAAACTTGATATAAATTAAGGTAGCCTTAAAATTTTGAAAATTGTGAGATCATTTGCAAAAGTATACTAAAATTAAAATTTGCACCTGACATGCAAAGACTGAACAATATGATACAGATGTTTAATAATATTAAACATCTGTATCATATTGTTCAAAACATCTGTATCAATATGATACAGATGTTTAATAATATTAAACATCTGTATCATATTGATAAAAAAATTTATTTTTAAATATTTTTAACATTTGAATTTTATGAGACTCTTTTTCCCTCAAAATTTAATTTTTAAAAAAACTTACATTAAATAACTTAAAAACAAGTTACATAAATTTACATAAGTTACATAAATTTACATAAGTTACATAAATTTACGTAAACTTTTAAGAGTAAGATTTTAAATTTTTTTAATAATTCTGCTTTCAAAAGATTGCATGTTGTTGATCACATTGTAATTTCGTAACACGACAAAGTGTGTTAAAACCTAAAAAAATAATGAAAATACCAACTTTATTAATACTAGGTATTGCGGCTAAAAGTTCATTAATAGGTATAATTTTGACTTGTTAGCCTGTCTTTATAGCTTCTATTCGCTATCTTCCTAACTGTTTGTTTCCTAATTTCCTAACTGTTTGTTTCCTAATTTCCTAACTGTTTACTCCTTTCATAATTTAAATTTCTGTTCTCATTAAACGCTTTCTCTTGGTTGTGGCTATTGGTTATGATTTTTCGAGTTTTAATAATAGATAAAGCATAACTTATCCAGAAAAATGGTCAATGAATTGTCTTTTTTTATTTTTTACATTAAATTATGTTAGAACCCTAATGAGATAATAAAGTAGTTGCTATAAATAAATGTAAAATTTTTTCTTGAAGATAAAGATTGTCAATGCTTTTCTTATCACAACAAAATGCAAATCTAAAGTAATGAATAATGAATTATCAAAAAAATTATCAAACATCACACTATGTGAAATATGATCAATGAAACACACAACGATTTTGACGAAGTAATAAAAAATGTTAGACTTATTTTAAATTAATCTTAAAGTTTTCCTAAAAAACAACTTACATTATCAAATGTGCGGCCTTGGCGCAGTGGTTAGAGCGCTTGCTTTATAAGCAGAAGATCCAGGTTCGAAACGAATTCTGGACCTATTTTCGCGTCACGGTAGGGAAGGAGGCGTGAACTTCCTGGTTAAATGCATTTCTGCGGTGCTCTGTGACAAGACCCTTAGGTCTTCTTGAGGCACCTAAATAACAAAAAAAAAAATTTAAATAAAAATAATGGGGTGGGGTGGGCACAGATATACTACATCGTTTGGAAAAATAAGTTAGTAAAGAGACCGGAAAAGTCTCTTTACAAACTTATTTTTACCATTATACGAACTATTATTTTTACAAGCCTAAAGTAATATTAAATTTTTGGCTTAAAATTGTAGCCAAAAAAAAGGTGAAAAAGTTTTTATAAATTTTGCAACTAATACATAAATAATCATTTTTATAATTTGCGCCAACTTACCTCGAGGCAAGGTAAGTTGGCGTAAATTTAAAAAATTTTTAAGAACACAGAAGGGTCCCAAAAATATTTTTAATAATAAATGCAACTTAAAAATGTTACCAAAACTTAACATTTTCTTTAAGACTACATTTTAATATTTTCAAAAAAATGTGTCGTTAGGGCTACAGAACTCAAAAATTAAAACAGAAGCATTCTCCTCTATATTATAAAGAAACTAAACTTCTCTAATTCTTTAGACAAAAAAAAAACCTTGTTATTTCAAAGGAAGTTAAAAATAAAATTTTAGCAGCACAAATAAAATACTACAAACTTTTGAAAAAAATAATTATTGATACCTATGAAAAAATAATAATAAAAAAAAGACGAGAAAAAAAAAAAACATTACAAAAAATTATATATAGCAGGCCTAGTTTAATACTTGACGGATTGAGCAGTGGCATTTTTTATCATCTTAATTTTGTTTTGGATTTTAATAATTTATTGCGTTTTTATTATGTTTTATTCAAAAAATTTTTACAACTTACACTAGCAGTGATCCAACGTAATCTATACCTAATAAAACATGTGCAATACACTGAACTGTAATGTTCTGTTGACTCCATAAGAAATTAATACGTTAGGGCAACGCCAAGCTAACTAAACTTTGTTTCTTAGATAAGAACAAATCAAATTTAAACAGGCTAACAAATAAAAATTAAAAGTTTAAACCAAAAGGATAAAATGAAGGATCAAGGAAAATGTGGTTAATAATACTATGATCTTTAACTGTAACTGATTATCACTTAGTAACAACTTATTCATAAATAATTACTGCTTGATTTTCAGTAATTGTAAGATAAAATGGTGAGAATTCATTCATTCATGTTTTTATTCATCAATGTTAAATAATAGTTAGATATTATTGTTTATGTTATCAAGTTTCAGCATGTGTTTTGTGATATTATAGCATGTGGGATATTTTACAGGAACCAAAAAGTTTTTTTTTTTTTATTCAAAATATAAAAATAGCAATATAGTCAGATATCTTATTTTTAATGTATTTATTAGATTGGTCGGATGTTCCACATAAGTCTCAAATCTCAAATCATGATGACATGTTGTAATTATTAATTATTAATGGTTAGAATAAAAAACAATAAAAAGTAAAAAAAAAAAAAAACACCAAAAAAAAAAAACTTACAAACATTAACTATGCCACTCAATATCACAATCAGTCGTATTAATAGTTTTGATACACTAACCATTTCTATAGAATATTTCAATCTACTTTGATGTTTTTCAAAGACTCTTAAATGGTGATTTCACAAACCACACCCATATACTGAAACCACAATATATATGAGAACTGTTGTTCAATTACTTTTCTTTTTAATTAGACAGATAGCAACTTGTTGTGAAAGTTGTGATATAATAAAATGTTTGTTCATTTAGTTCTAGGTTGTTTGTTAGCTTCCTAGGCAATTGTTTAATTTTCACCTGTTTGCTCCACGTATCGGTAAAACTTTTTAATGTTATAATAATAACTTTATTGAAACTTCCTTTTACAGTTACAAAAAAATTGAGCATATTCTTTGTTGTTTTTTTAGTACTTTTTAAGTATGTAATTATTCTCTTAAAAATATGTCAAATTTGGTCTTATTTTGCATAATATTCAATAATTTATAGGTTGAAAAATTTATTCTCTGTTTTAATTTTAAATCAGTATTACACCATAATTCCTTTCCTCCTCCTGCCCATCCCGACCATTTTATAAAGAGATTGAATTGTTGTTAACAACACTCATAGTAAGTGGAAAAAGTGCACAGTCAATAACTTTTTTTTATTTCTTTAATAAAAATTATTGTCTCTAAACGAGTAGTTTGATTTTTACCTCCTTTTTTACGTATAGAATTTATTTAATTGTAGTTATTAATAGCAGTATAGAATTAAAAGTTGTTTACAGAAAATTATATGCTGTCTTCCATGCTGTCGTGCGAAGCAAAAATGTCGTATCATTAAAATGAAAACTTAACCTCGTAACCGTAAACTAAGTCATAAAAAAGGTTTACTAATTGATTATTGTTGTAAAGTTATTGTATAACAATTATTAAAAAATATTAGCGTACGCTTTATAACGATTTAACACGATTTAATACGATTAAAAGGTTAGGTTACACTACTTTCTTTTTTACAGATTTTTCTCTTTTTTTGCTCAGCACGACATTTTAATTCAGCACGACATTATGGCCTACTTAATATATACGACTTTATATTTTACATTTTCAACAGTAAATTAGAAGTACAGTTTAGTTGTTTTGAAATAATAACTTATATAAAGTAAAAGTTGTAATAGCAAGAACAAAGAATGGTTAACAAATTAGTGTTGTTGACTTTATTTAAAATATTCAAGACATGATGTGGTGCCACTTATTTTATTTTCAATAAATGAAGATTTAAGGACCAAAAGGATCAAATTTATAAATAGACAAAACTGGGTAACAACTAAACCCTCTGTCATTTTCAATTTTCAGAAAAAGTATTTAAAACGTTGAAAAAAGATTTCGTTAAACAAAAAGGTAAAATCGAATACCAATTATACATTCAAGTGCTATAGCAAAATTGTCTATTACAAAAAATATGAAAAGAAATTTCCAACTCGATATTTTGATTAATTTTTAACACAATAATTAAAGCGACAATTAATTAAAAAAAGATTTTTTTGTTGTACGAGATGATATGTGTTATAATCATGCAAGTAATGTTTCTGCGTTTAATCAATTGTTATCAGAAAATGAAAATGGCTTTGATAGCCTCAGAAATTTAATTCAACTGCAGAAAAGGTTTTTTTTAATCTAATGATGCTGTACACCATTTTAAAACATGAGAAATAGGTTGGTGAATTAAAAGGGGTCTTTTTGTCGTCAAATTTAAAAATAGCATAACAGTTAAAGGTAGAGAAGTATATAAATACTATTCTATGAAGTCCATAAAAAAGATTTTATTTTAAATGCAGGTTTGCATAATGCTTTAAAGCTAATAAATAATTGTGCTGCACCAATTAAAACTTACTCGTTCAATGAAATCACAACAGCTAATTAATTTATACTTTCCTTCAGCAACATATTGTGCATTTAAATTATTTTCTAATTTGTCAATAAGAAAATGGTTTACAATTATAGCTTATAAAAATATATACATTACTGGGGCTAAAAAAAGATAAAATTAGTTTTATCACCGAGGCCCAATTAGCAATGTTAGTTTTTTAGGCTATTTTGAAGAATGAAAAAACCTGAAATTTCACGAGTAATGACATTATTGATTGATAGTTAAAAAAAATATAAAACTTTCAATTGTGAGAAATTTGTTATGTCTGCCTAAACTAAATCAGCATTTTAACAAACCTTTTATAACCAGCATTTTAACCAGCATTTTAACCAGCATTTTAACAAACCTTTTTAACTTTACAAATGATTTTTATGCCTCTTTGATTAAAGATATTTTAAATAATGGTTGTAAATTTGAGATGACTGCTAGATTTCAAAGCGAATAGAGAGAAGGTTTAGATATTCCGACTGATGAGTAGCGATAGATTTTTGGTGAGCTTTAAGCATGTTTATGGTCTAAACGAACTATCAAAGTTGAATGTTTACTTAGCGTAAATGCAATAGCAATGTCAATAAAAAATTTTATACTCATTTTTGGTCCAACTCCAGTGCTTTTGTTTAAATAATGTTTTTTGCCAGAAGATAGTAGAGAAGTTGTCTTTCATATTACAGTTTGTTATACAACAAAAAAAATTTAAAAAGATTTGGTAAATGTTGTAATTGACACATGATTTACCTAAACAATTGCAAACTTTATATTGAAAATTTATTTAAATGAAAACTTTCTTTCTTCTGAAAATCTGAAAATTGAGGGAACTCTTACAAACAGAGCAATAAGTAATATATTTTTCAATAATAAAAGAAATATACTGATAAAATCAATATGGATAACGTAGTATATCTTTAAAAAAAAGACAACGCAATAATCAAGCCTCAACATAAATATAGAATTATCAACAAAGATGCTTTTAATAGATTTAGAATAAACTATATTTCTTTGTACATTTGAAGACAGTCACAAGTACACACGTTTTATCATGGTCATTTCCCATTTTGCGCAAGTGAAGTTTCTTTTATAAAAGCATTTTAACTAACACTTTGCTGTTGCCATAAACATCATACTTCAAACTATCCAATGTCACGTATCTTTTTTTTTATTATTTTTTTTTTTTAATATATTTCGCTGTTTATATAAAAATAAAATAATAAAATTACAATGAAACTTTTACATTACACAAAGAATATATATAAAGCAGACAGGGGCTCAAAGAAGATAAGGATGACTGATGTCACCACAATCTTTTCATAGAGTCTCTTTACAATATCATTTAAAGCCCTCTTAGCGTTAGAAAGTTTACAACAAATATTTTATCTGTTAAATACTACGTGAAGAGTAAAGAAAAACTCATATATACATATATACACATATATACATATACCCATAAAAACACACACATATACAAACATTCTTACATACATGTCAGAAATTTAGAAGATGCAGTTTCATTTGTCGTTTAAAAGAGATAGTGCTTTTCAAATTTTTTATATTGTTTTTTTTTAATTAATTTCATAATGATGGGCCTTTGCTAATAATTGAAAATTTCGACACCTGCGATTTTACTATGCTCAAGTGATAGTTATGGTTGTTCTCATGGGTATCAGCTGCTGAGTGGCCGGAGTAAAACACAGCAGACATTTTTACAGTTTACAGAAGATGTAATAGAGAAAAAAATTTTAGCTCAACTTTAAATTTTTGTAAGAACAATGACAACCAAAGTAAATTTACCAGCTCTTTGATTATCCTTCAATATTAGCATGTTTTGCAAACTTGCAACATCTAATAGTTTTACTTGTAATATAAATTTTACATCACCAATTAAAGTATCAATACATTATACATCAAATTGTTTATGAATAAAAACTATAAATTGTTCAAATATTCTACTTATTACCATCCATTTTGCTTTATCTCCAACAATAAACTGTTTTTTTCTAAATAAACTAGAAAAAAAAATGTTTTTAAAAGAGCTGTTGCAATCAGTTTTGTAGTAAAAATCAAATATTTAACTAAATTTAAATACTATTAAATTTAGAATTTTAATCGATGAGTCACCTATTTATTACAATTATTAAAAATAAGTTAATCGTCAACTTTTTAGGAATTATTTTAGATTTTAAATTTATCATAGAAGTTACACACACAATATACTGAATACAAAATCTCAAAATTGTTTCATGCTATATAGAAACTACCCATTATATTATTCCATACTATATAGAACAAAACTATTTCTAGATGCAACTTCACTAAAGATATATTTTATTTACAGCTTTAAAGTTGTAAATAAATAAAAAATATATCACAAGTGAAGTTGCTTCTAAAAATAGTTTTGTTCTATATAGTATGGAATAATATAATGGATAGTTTCTATATAGTATGAAACAAATTTGAGGTTTTATATTCAGTATATTGTGTGTGTAACTTCTATGATAAATTTAAAATCTAAAATAATTCCTAAGAAGTTGACGGTTAATTCACTTTTAATAATTGTTTTGTTAAGTAAAGTAAAAAAGTTAGTAAAAAAGAAAGCTTTCTTTTTTACGACAGTAATAAAAAATAAAATATAAATATACAGTAAACTAAAACTTTACAGTAATCAAAAACATTCTTGAAAGATTTTCGGTTGCAACAAAACTGTGCCTTAGGAACCTTGCATAGAATAAATATATATTGCTTTATAAAATCACGCAAAAAAGTTTATTTGTAAATTGTATGAATAGGAAAAAAAATTAATATTGAATCTTCTTTAACTGCACATCTGCACTTAAGTTATTAGCACCACCTGTATCCATTGTATTTTGGGATAATTGTTTTTATTGTGGAGAAATGTTAATTTCTCCATGTTGAGATAAGAGAAATATAAATAAGTGATAAACTGATGTATTTGTTGCGCATATATAATTTTAGTAGTATTTCAATAATAATAATAACAATAATGATTAGAAACCATTAACATTAGATTATTTAAAAATAAAACATTTCTAGATTTCTTTTAATTTTCAAATGACATGAACATGAAAAACTGGTATATAAAAAACATGATAAAGTTATTATCCGGCCACACGAATAATAATCTTATTCGACCCGGATATCCCACCAGATAACTTTTATGGGACACCCCATGATAAATGATACAATTTAATAACTTTTTAGTTTCATTTTTGTTTTATTAGATAATTTAAT